TTAATTAATAAAAAATAGAACGTGATACTTTGGTCCCCCCCCTCCCTAAAGAAACACGTGATTTCTGGCACCTCCCTTACGTTTACGCCCTTTACATATTTAACACTTGTCTTTCATTCACATTTCTCAATCTTTTCGTTAAAGTATATCCTATTCAAAGGTAAAATAAAATGCTTTTCATTTAACTTTCGAATTACTTCGCGAATTACTGAATTACTTTGACAATTTATAAAGTAAAACACGATTTTTTTTGTCTTACCCTTTCTGAATTTGTATTCATTTTAATAATACTTTATTATGACGAGATGATTTACAAAAATTGGCCAATCATAATAAAGCCTGCTATGCTATACTACATCATAATATCTTATGATATTTATTGTAATATACATGAATATTAGTTTTAAAATATACAATTGTAGTACCAGAAAATTTCCGGTCCACCTTCGAAAATAATTATCTATATATAGGGATGTTAAACAGTTTTGAATAACCGATTTGAAGTTCAAACTACATAAACTAAACCTAACTGGCAGTTTAACCAGTTTTATATGTACAATCACATGACTTTATTCCAATAAGAAATTACTTTATTTATATATGTCAATTTTCTATCTCTTTACATATTTCTTTAAAATTTTTTTATTCTTGTTTAAATAACCCACCATTTTATTCTTCTATATGCATGTTAATTAATCCTGCCGAATATCAAGTCTTAAGACAAAGAATTGCACGAGCCTTTTCTGGATACAAACGGTTTCTTGTTAAATCAACTGTAAATTTTGCTATACTAAATATTTGCTCACTTGATACACTTGTTGCTTGTATTACTAGGTAATTGCATGCCATACGGGCAAGAGGAAGCCATCGAGGATCAACAGATTTTATCTTCCAATATAGAAGAGCATCGGTATCTTCAATAGGTAAACGAAGATATTTTGCAAGAGAATTATCATTATCTATAAACATTTCATATGTTCTTCTAAGACATTTTCGAACAAAGTTACGTAGAGATTCGGACTTAAGTAACTCTATCGCAGATTTCTCATCTTCTGTAACATAATTTTTATAAGTTGTATTAATTATGTTTTGTGCCTCATGCTTTTCTGTATCCGATTTAAATGATGCTAGCTTATTGGTTCCAATAATGTAACAAGCATCTATAAAAAAAAAAAAAAAAAAAAAAAAAAAAAAAAAAAAAAAAAAAAAAAAAAAAAAAAAAAAAAACTTAAATAAAAAACTTATGCTAAGTTCCTCCCATTCCTTTTCATTTGGATATGTGTTTTTTAATAATGGATTTGATATAACTAATAGATTCATAATATTTCGAATTCTTTGTAATTTTTTTATCATTTTATAGGTCAAATTCCAACGGGTTGGAACATCAATCTCAGGTACCAAAAAAGAAAGCTTTTTCATCTCAAATATTTGTTTTAACTCTTCAAATATAACTTGAGATGAACATATAGAAATTGTAAACTGTCGGATCTTCGTAATTAATACTTTAGCTTTTTTGAGACCATTTTTTACTATCAAATTTAATATATGTGCGGCACATCTAATTCGATAAAATAAGGTATTTCCATGATTATCGAATAATAGTTGTGTAAACTTACGCTCAAATACATTCATATTAGAAGCATTATCAGTGGTAATTGATATAATCTTCTCACCAAGACTGAAACTATTGACAATAGTGTAAATCGTGTTTGCCATTATAGTACTTGTATATCTTTCATGAAGAGGTACCAAATCAAGTAGAATACGTTGCAATTTCCATTCATCATTAATCCAGTGAAGAGTTATGGACATATAAGCTTAATTAGTGCATGCAGTCCAAATATCTGTAATAAGTACCACTTTGCCGTCAAAATTATTAAAGTATATTTTAAGAGCATCTCATTGTTCTTCATACAGATGTTGTACCTTTGTAGAAATAACTTGCCAACATAATAACTTGTATTGGGGATTTAGAGCTTCCACAAAATCACGAAAATCACTATCACTGACAATTGAAAATGATTGTTGATCGCGTATGATCCATTGAAGAAATAGAACATTTAATTTTGCAATCTTTTTTTCATCCAATTTAATATATTGCGCAACTGGCTTGATAGTAATCATAGCTTGTTTTTTAATTTCTTTCCACTTGTTTTGATGATTTGTCATGAAATATCCTTTGATCGTACTAACACCAGTTTTAGAACCATATTGTTGTTGACATAGATCACAGGAAGCAAAAGTCTTGTCCATATTCCATGAGAGATACTGCCAAACCAGATGGCAAGGTTGACTTTTTTTTACTTTTTGTATGAGTTCTTCATTATCACTAATGGATTCCATGTTATTTTCAGTCATTAGAATTAGATGGATTAAGATCAAAAATTTCCCTATAGGCCTATATATAATCACATTAAAGAATTACACAAATACCTCAAAAGTATTGATCGAAAGTCTTTATGAAGATCGATAACAAAGAAAAACAAACAATTACTTTTGTTTATTTTTCATCTAGCTTTTAGGGGAAGGAAGTTTCACGTAGTGACACCCTTTATATGTATATTTATGTTCGACTTCTAACAATTATTAAAGGATTAATAAGGTTAGTAACTTTACCATTATTTAACGAAAACATAACGTAGGATCAATTAATTACCTTTTAATCCTATTATTAAATTTCACACCAAGAATACTCTTGAATTTTACCTTTTATAAAGCTAACGTTAGTTAAATTTTATATATTTATAGAAACCGTGTTTTTTTAATTATCTTACCTTTATAATAAAAAAGAAACGATTTCGAGTATGCAACCTTATTAAAAGAGGTAAGTTTAAATTTATATTATTAAGAAAAAAAAAAAACTAATTAGCACCTTAAAGTTCCATTACAAAGGATTCCGCGAATGCATTCCTAAGTACGTAATCTTATGGGAAAAGACAGGTTAATTTTAAAATTTTTTAGATCATTTTAAAATTTAGATCATTAAAAATATACCTATCTATCTACTAATCAATACCTTTAAATTTTGCCAAGAAAGTGTTCCCGAATATGCAGTCTTATAGATAGGTTAGTTAAGAAAAAAAAAAGCTAATTAACACCTTTAAATTTCGTCATGAATTCTGCTAAAAAAAGCATTTTCGAATCCACATTCTTACTAATTGTTAGGTGATATTCGTAAATTCCAGTGCCATAAGTTCCAAACTCACGTACTTTTTATTGAATGAGTTAAAGTTAATAAACTTCAAATACTCAACCATTTATTTACTTACAAAGTAATGTAACTTACCTTAAATCCAAACATCGTGAATTTTTTAAGAACAAATAATCATGTAAGTAATTAGTTAAAGAAAACGTACGTAGGTATCCTGCCAATAAACTTCATGTTATATGTCACGTGAATAATAAACCGGTTAAACTGGCAGTTTAGGCCAAACCAGAACGATTTAAGTTTGAACCAGGTTAAACTAGTTCCGGCCGAACTACTTAACATCCCTATCTATATACAATTACTTATCAAAAAATCTTAATTGAATAGAAATAGTAATTTTTAACAATTCTATTTGAAAAGCA